AAATTATATACCCTGAATTCAACTATCGATTGAATGCTGCAAAATTTAAACAAATACTCGTTATCGTGTAGCATGTAAACCATGAGCATGACCAAAGCTAACTGAAATAAATTTCAAATGTTACTCGTTTACTGTAGTATGTAGCCGTCAGTGGACGTTTGGTCTTGAATTCGCTAATAGCGTATATTTTAGAACGATCCTCAATGAAGCATACTTTAAGAAAGAAACTTTAATAGCAATAACAGTTTAAAAATGATAATTATGTATTGATAGTAACGCGTGAGCGATGTGCCGGATCTCCGTGGAGAGAAGACGCCCGACGTTTTCCCTGAGGAGCATGAGATCCAGCGGATTGGATGTGAACGTTTATTGTCACAATCGGTAGTTTCTAGTGCACATACATTTATTTGTCTTAGGCATTTGCATGATGTGTTTCTCGCCAAAGGGAAGTCAACTACGAAATTGTCTACCAACAAAATACCTTCCAGGTATGTTTACGCAAGATTCACGTAGGCTAGTCTTGTTTTTTCAAGATTAACAGCATAAATTATTCATCCTACATACTAATTATATTTCGAAAGTTTCAAAGGTCCAAAGATGCTTCCATAGAGAATAGAGAATATCGAGAGGGTATGTCCTCTGCCGAGGGATTTTTTAACCCACCTAATAGATGTTTTGTTGATTGGAGGTACATATTTGATTTTCATCACCAAACAGTTTTCGGACTGAATATTCCTCTGACATTAATAGATACTATTGGTCACACTGAAATTTTAAGCGTTTCAATAAAATAACAGTTCAGCAGATCTAAAGCAAAAAAAAAACCGATAATTGCTGGATTACAGCGCCACCTGCCAAAATCGGAGAAAATGTTTTAGATAAATTATTCCCAGTTGTTAAAGTACTATTCGAACCTCCAATAAAATGTTGTGGTTACTATTTGAAATTCTCAAGTTGACCCCTGCCTAGCCTACAAGGTCGAAGTAGGCGTTGTTTTTCTGACACGAGTAAACTGCCCCCTTCCAGATATTAACTTCTTATTTGAAACATTTTTTCCTCGGATCACTCGTTTCCGAAATATTTAAGCGTTTCAAGATATAAAAAAACACAATAAATGACGTCAACTTCATATTTTAAATTTGATGTCAATGCCACTTTTGAAATTGTCACGTTTTGACGTTTGTAATTTTTCAAAATTGGCGTCATTCCTCTGGAGGTGTTGTCAGGCGCTGTTATAGGAGTACAGAAAAAATAGTAAAGTAAATTAATTGTTATTAAAAACTAAGAAATTTCCAAACAACCATATCAGAAATACGGCAGCAATGTTTTTCAAGGTAATCTGCCTAATTAACATTGCGCAAATACCTGTTGCTTCGTAATTATTAAAAACTCCGGTAACCATGGAATTATACAGGGTGACAATAAGATCGACAAGGAGAAACGGTAAATTCAACAAGATTCGTTGACTGCGCAACGTACTTTCGACATGTCAATCTATTCTCATAACTTCAAATTCTGCGGAGTTTGGTGTTTACATGAATAATCCATACAACACCAAACATTTGAATGTTTAACTGCAAACAAGCTAGTGCCTGTGTAATCTCCTTATTATCCACTCTTATCAAGCAGCTTCTCGTATTCAGTTAATTAACTCGTGCTCCATTTGTATCTCCTTGTGCTGAGTGTATCGTAAAAACGTGGTAGGAATGTAGCTGGTGGTAGAAACGTGGTAGGAATCTGCTATGTTACTGTAGCATTTCCCCTGAACTAAGCGCATATCCGCAAATTCGTGAAAGGAAATTCAAAGTAAGTCACAGTCATGTCACAGTTTGACAAATTATTGTTATTATTGACAAGGGCGCTATCCACCTGTAACTATCTGTTAATGACAGAAAACATCATTACCGCTGTGATTGTTGTCATCAAATTGTAGAAGAGAACTTTTTTGATATAAAAATTTTTCTAATTAGTATAACAGTAATTTTTCTTTTTAAATGCTTAAGTATTCCAATATGCTACCAATTAAACATGGAACAATTTCTAAATAATGCTTAATAACAAAGTTGAAATTTGATCTTCAACTGTTAATATCTTCCAGATATTTTCGAAAAAAAAAATTTCTATATTTTTCTCGTACTCCCCAAGTGAGCCTCTATCACCCCTTAAAAGGAATGACGCCAATTTTGAATCACCCTGTATATATTTATACCCCTCTCACGGTCGGAGACTTTGCTATATGTATAATAAAAATGAATTCAAGACACGTTGCACGCACAAACTTATTTGTTAGTTACCTGGCTTAAGTTTTAAAGCTGGTACAGGATTCCATGTTAACTTTGTGCACCTACTACCAAATACTGAAGCTTGTGGCAATGTTCTGCACATTTCCACTTGTTTTTCACCACTATATCTGAAGGACCCGATAGAAAGCTTTTAAGAAAGTTTGTAAAGAAATGTGGAAAAGGGGTCACACTTTTTTGTCTAGACTTTAAGTTTCCCCATAAAATCCGCCATGACTTAAATTCTTAAAACTTTTCAAAGCAGTATCTTGTCTTGTAAACAACAAATAATGCTATAGAAATATTTGAGAATTTTATAACAAATCGACAATGTAAGCACTCGTAGTTTTTCAGAAACCAGTAAACTGAAGAAAGGAGTTCAGTGACGTCGACTCACCCAACAGCACATTAATTCCTTAACACCGAATATCAATTTTGAAATTACTGTTGAATGTAAAAATACAGCACAATGTTCCGGCTATGCAAATCTCGATAAAATTTTCCTTTTTATTTAAACCCATGTGCCCCGCTTTATCATTGGTAAAGTATTACCAATGTATTAATGATTTTTTGTAGTTAAGAATGGCGAGTAATGTTTACATTTCGGTTTCGTAGCGCCCCCATCGGTACTTTAACTTACGAATTACGTTTATGATGGGCATTTCGGTTCTGATCACAGAATATCCCCCCTTAGAATGGTAACAGAATAGAGTTTAGTCGATATGCTCCTCAGAGTCGCCAGTCGCGAGAAGGCGCTAACAGAAGTGGGTAGTTCTGTGGGCAATTGACAGAAGCTTTTTGTGGTGAGTTTTTCTGTAGCCAATAGCCTGCGAGTACTTGTCTTCGCAGACTGTTCTGTGATTGTTCTTGCTTATGCTTCGTTTGCTTAATCATACATTGTCGTTTTGTTATAAAATTTTAAAATTTTCCTTTAAAAAAAGGTAATTTTTTACAAGCACAAATCATATACTTTTTCAGATATAGGTCATGGAGGATTCTAGAATGAAATTTAAACACCAGAAGAGAAAGTGCTCGGTGCGCGGATGTGCAAACCATTACGGGAGCTTCTTCAGCTTTCCTCATCCCCGCAGAGAACCGGCTATGCTGCAAACTTGGTTAACAGCTATCAACAATCCGGCTATATTATCGGGTCCTCGCGAATTAGCAAGGAAAGACAGCCTGATATGTGCGGAACATTTTGAACCTGAGTATTTAATAAGTAGTAGTCGATGCACAAAGTTAAAGTGGAATGCAGTACCAACTTTAAACATTAACCCAGGTAACTAAAAATAAGTTTGTGTGCGTTCCTTTGTGCAAAAAATGGCTGATCGAAAAGAGGGTATATTCGACATAAATGACAATCCATTGAGGGCAGTCGGAACCTAACATAACCTCTGTTATCTGGGCTAGGACCCTCGATTTCACCCAATTGGAAAAGAGCGCGTCGGCAGCGAACGAACGGCGCTATATCGAATTATGCATCCAAAATATCTATGTACAGTATACATCATCAGTATCATACAATTAACTTATACTAAAACACATTTAGCCCAACTTCCAAAAAGTATTTACTTGGCGAGTTGTCGGAGATAGGTAAGACCATCTCCAACATTTCGCCAAGAAACACCGAATTGAGTGAGCATGCTTAAGATCGGCGATCGAGCGATTGTTGTAATATTATAATCTCGGCCAACAGATATTTTTCTGATGCTAAGTTGGGCGATAAATCACAAATTTGCGATATGCGCAAAATAGACGATAAAGCCAGCACCGCCAAGTCTACCTCATTGTTATGTGATTTGAGCGACTTTTTGTTCGTGACTATGCAACTTTCTTTACCTAGACCTTGGCAACAATGCTTAGCGACAGCTAAGCAACTAAGTGTCTCCATAGCATTGCAAATATTTTACTACTGACCTTTAAATTGCGGCATCAACTAATATGTGTATTGTATTTTGCGATAATAGAAAATGAAGTGGCTCAGAAGGCGCCTTTGCTAACTGCCAAAATCATGAATACATTGGTAAAATGTTGCTGACATCCCATATTTTAACGTTTGTTTTCAAGTCTATACCATGAAATTACATCTTTTCCAATATGTTTCTATTGAGTTAAAGGCTTGCAAAACTGAGTAAAACTAAACAAATCAAATCAAATCAAAATAAGTGTAAAACTTTTCTAGTTAAAGTGTAGGTATAATTTAACCGCCGGTGGGCGTTTGGCCTTTTGAATTCCCCATTGGGTATTATCTTTATTTGCAGTAGCGAGTTGGATCTGTTCAGAACCGATAATGAACCGAATTACCGCGCAGGCTCATTCTGAAAAGGTCCTGAACCGATTCTTCATTCCTTCGTTCCGCGAACGCTTTTAGAACCAGCTTTTAGTAGTACCAACAGGATTTTAGTTTCTTTCTATCTAACAGTAAATTCCCCTAAACTGAAGTGCAATG